ATGACCTCTCGAGGTCCCTTCCAGTCCTAGAATCTATGAATCTATGAATCTATAAACTATCTCGGAGGACAGGGAGACAGCAGATTGGTTGGAGGCAGAGTGCAAGAGCCAGGTAACCGGCAATATCTGAGGACAAGGAAGAGGGATGGACTAAGGTGCGTTCAAGGGAGGTCAAGAGTGCAGCGGGATGTGGGCTGAGATATGGGCTAGAGCAGTGGTTCTCAACCAGGGGTACACAGAGGTCTTCCCAGGGGTACGTCAACTGATCTAGATGTTTGCCTAGTTTTACAACAGGCTACATAAAAAGCACTAGTGAAGTCAGTACAAACTAAAATTTCATACAATGACTTTTTATACTGATCTATATACTATACATTGAAATGTAAGTACAAGATTTATATTCCAGTTGATTTATTTGATAATTATATGGTAAAAATGGGGCAGTAGCAATGTTTCAGTACTCATGTGCTGTGACACTTTTGTATGTTTATGTCTGATTTTGTAAGCAAGTAATTTTTAAGTGAGGTGACACATGGGGAAACACAAAACAAATCAGTCTCCGGAAAGGGGTACAGTAGTCTGGAAAGGTTGAGAGCCACTGGGCTAAAGGATACCACACAGAACTGGGCTCAAAAGATCTGGCTTCTGATCCTGCCTCTGCCACTGACTTGCTGTGTGACCTAAGGGGTGTCACTTCCCCTCTCTGTCTGATGTGACGCTCAGAGAGGGAAAATGCTGTGGGAGAGCAGCCATGATGGGGGAGGGATAATTGTCCTTAGCACATCCATGGCACTTGATGTCTTCTAACCATAATCAAAGCCAATCAAGTAATTAAAGACCTAATTAAATCCTGCTTTGTGGCCTCATCACAAATCTTCAAAACGCCTGATGTTCCCGTGGATGAATGTTCCACAGCAGGCTTTGGCAGCCTTGATTTGTGCCCCAAGCCCAGCATAAATCTCTGTGTGTGAGAATGTGGGGTGCAGAGGAAAGGTAGCTGTACAGTGTATGGCATTACTATGGGTGTCACACACAGAGAAAGCTCTGCACATGCCTTTCCTTTCTTCCTGAGGATTTTCTCCCTTCCCCCCCCCTCCCCGCCCCATCTCCATCTTTTGTGCTCTCTCAATTTTGTCCTTTGCTTCTTTTCCTGCTCTCCCTCCATGTTGCCTCCTCCCCTACCTGCTCATCCATGGTTTCATCCCCATTCCTTGCCCTCCACCTCTGGCCCCTCTCTATTCTTTCCCTTCACTGCTCTGCCTGGATTATCCTCAGCCTCCACCCTGCTTCCCTCTATGAGCAAGCAATAAAGCAAAGCAAAACTGACCAGCTCTGTCCATTTCATCTTGTTTCTGGGCTAGTCTTGAGAAGAACTCAGGAAGGTGAAACTGACTAGATCCTGTTTTGCTACTTCTCTCACATGTGATGGAAGGGAAGGCAGTAATGAGAGGTGTTTTGTGCCACCCTCTGGCCTGCACTCCTCGGTATGTTAATCCCTATGCTAGAGAAATCTGCTGCTGGAATGTATATTAGTGACTATTATTATTGTCTATATAATGCAATGTAATGTGTGTGCGCATTAATCTTTAGAGGTAGCTAAAAACACAGGTCCAGCAACAAAGGGTTTACAGTCTAGTTATTCACACAGTTGCACATCCCACATAGGGGTTAAAGATGAAAGTCCAATCCTTTCCCCATAGTAATCAAGGGAACTTTTTTTGTTGACTTCAATGAGAATACAACTGGGCCCAGGGAATCAAATGGAACATTTTCCAAGGGAACAAAGTCTCTCCCCTTTTGATCACACCACTACACCACAGCAGGTTATTTCCAATCCTTCCACTCAGTGATATTTGGGGGTAGGGGATTGTTTACAGTCATTGAGGAAAGTTATTCTTTGCATTTGATTTCCCTTTGGTTCCCAACCAATCTTTCCAATGTCAATGCTTTGCAGATGAGTTCTGGTTGGAGTTTTATATCCTTCTTGTACTGTTTGTTTGGTGTTAAGGGACTATTCTTTAACGTGCATGTTCTCCTTTGGAATGATCTATCTGATGGCTGAGCCCCTGCTGATGTCATGCATAATTTTTCTGATTGTAAAACCAAACCAAACCACCCAACATTATGCTAGCTCACTGAAATCTCACAATGGAATTCTGCAAGCATAAGCAACGGTCAAGCACACAGTGGTGCCTATGTGCCTTAATTTTGGCCCATAACAGGACTCTATGCAGAGTTATGTGTCTCTGATAACAACAAACTTCAGCCAGGTAGTAGATTTAGACTGGCCAAGTCATCTAACTTGTAAGATCAGTCAAATTTTCAGTGCATGGAGGAGGCTGTGATAAATGAAAGGGGCGGGGGTAGCTCCCTTTTATGGACACCCAGCCAGCCAGTAGCTATAAAATCCCTCTTAGTAGCTGTTCTCTAATTGCTCTACCTGTAAAGGGTTAAAAAGTCTCACTGCGATGCATAGGTAAAAGGAAGTGAGTGGGCACCTGGCCAAAAGAGCCAATGGGAAGGCTAGAACTTTTTAAAATTGAACCAAGACTCCCCTTTTGTCGGTCTGTTGTTCTCCCGGGGAGAGGCGGACAGGACAGCAGTTACGCTGTAAGAAGCTTGGGCCAGGTATGAAAAAATCATCAGTATCATACCTAGAAACTACTAATTTATAACCCCAGATATGTAAGTAGATCAGGAAATGTCTAGGAAGATGTGATTAGGTTAATCCCTTTTATTTAATTATGGCTTGTGGATTCCTCTGTGCTAACCCCAGGTGCTTTTGTTTTGCTTGTAACCTTTAAGCTGGACCTCAAAAAAGCTACTCTTGATGCTTAATCCTTGTAGTTGCTCTTTTAAAATTTAGCAATAGCCTGAGTTCCCAAATGTATTTTCTTTCTTTTTTTTATTAATAAAATTTACCTTTTTTTAGAACAAAATTGGATTTTTGTGTCTTAAGAGGTTTGTGCACATGTTGTTTAATTAACTGGTGGCAACAGCTAATTTCCTTTTTTTCCCCTCCTCTTTCTCAGCTCTTCCCAGGGTGGGGGTGGTGAAAGGGCTTGAGGGTACCCCTCAGGAAGGAATTCCCAAGTGCGCCTTCCTGGGCTCTCAAAGGGGTTCTGCATTTGGGTGGTGGCAGCATCTACCAATCCGAGGTCAGAGAGAAGCTGTAACCTTGGGAGATTTATATAAGCTTGGAGTGGCCAGTATTAATTTTTAGAATCCTTGCGGGCCCCCACCTTCTGCACTCGTAGTGCCAGAGTGGGGAATTAGCCTTAACAGAGGCAGTGAAAGACTTCTCCCACCGAAGAGGGTTTTTATTCTCATAGCAAGGCTCAGTCTAAATGAAGAAGTTGTGGCAGTCTAGTGTGTATTGATGTAAATGGACCAATGTAGCTGCACTGACTGTGTGTCCACACTGTGCACATGCCCCAGGTTAAAGCTACTTCCCCTTTGAAGCTTCACATCCACATTTCACAGTGCTGTACTGCCAGAAGCGTATTGCACTGCAGGTAGGTATCCCAGGCACCAACTGCTGTTTCTAGGCACTATGCATTCTGGGTACTTTTCACAGCAGATTAGGGGATACCAGTCAGCGTGCAGAGGAACTGTCCGACTATGGATTCAACTCCTATCATCCCTCCTGTTGTATCCCAGAATTCATCTGGAGCTTGCAGGCCCAGGCCATTTTCAAACAATTGGCTAGCAACATGGAGGATAAACAGGCAATCCTGTCCATTACTGATACTCATCAGCTTCAATGGGATCACTCACATGCCTGGAATTCGACATGTGCTTAAGCACCTTCCTGCTGCAGGGCTGGCCACAGCAGAACTCCAGCCTGCAGGATCCTGCAGGGCACATGACTGTTTGGGCCACACAGTGTCTAGAGAAGGATCTGAGCTCACCTTATCCTGCTCCTGGCGGTTCAGAGCCTCCAGCTTCACCCGGTCGATCTCCATTCTGGAGTTCATAAGCTCCCGCTGGGCCTCGCTGAGCTTCTCTGACAGCAGACTCTTCTCCGTTTCCTTCAGGGACAGTGCCTGGCAGGGTGCAACAGACAGGAGCCATCATTCAAGAATGGCACACATGGAAGGACAAGTGCAGGAACTCAGCATGTTGGGACGGAAGAACATTCTCCACAGGTACCCCCTGCTAGGACTGCAGTGGCTGTACGCTTCCTTGCAGCTAGCACTGTTATGCCATTCAATAGAGAGCCTCCTGCTGGCCCAAGCTGGGCCTGTAGTAGCTGTGGGGTTACCCACACCCAGCACTCTATATCACTCCCCACAGCGCCTCCCGTTGGCACAGGCTGGGCCTGAAGTAGACTCACTGACACATAGACTTTAAGGTCAGAAGGGTCTATCATGATCATCTAGTCTGACCTTCTGCACATCGCAGGCCACGGAACCTCACCCACCCACTCCTGTAACAGACCCCGAACCTCTGGCTGAGTTACTGAAGTCCTCAAATCACGATTTAAAGACTTCATGCTACAGAGAATCCACCATTTACATTAGTTTAAACCTGCAAGTCACCCTGCCCCATGCTGCACAGGAAGGCGAAACACTCCCAGGGTCTCTGCCAATCTGAGCCGGGGAAAAATTCCTTCTCAATCCCAAATATAGCAATCAATTAGACCCTGAGTATTTCAACAAGACCCACCAGCCAGACACCTGGGAAAGAATTCTCTGTAGTAACTCAAAGTCCTTCCCATCTAGTGTCCCATCTCCGGCCATTGGAGATATTTGCTGCTAGCAGTTGCAGATTGGCTACATGCCATTGTAGGCAACCTCAACATAACATCCCTACCATAAACTTATCAAGCTCAGGCTTGAAGCCAGTTAAATTTTTTGCCCCCACTGCTCCCCTTGGAAGGCTGTTCCAGAACTTCACTCCTCTGATGGTTAGAAACCTTTGCATATTTCAAGCCTAAACTTGTTGATGGCCAGTTTATAGCCATTTGTTCTTGTGTCTGCATTGACGCTTAACTTAAATAACTCCTCTCCCTCCCTGGTGTTTATCCCTTTGATGTATTTATAGAGCGCAGTCATATCTCCCTTCAGCCTTCATTTGGTTAGGCTAAACAAGCCAAGCTCCTTAAGTCTCCTTTTGTAAGGTATGTTCTCCATTCCTCTGAGTTCCCCAGAGCCCTTCTCTGGGTTCCCCACAGCCAGCACGCTATACCACTCCCCCAGCGCCTTCCACTGGGAGAGGCCGGGACTGGAGCTTTCCTGCAGCCAGTGCTCCTCCAGGACCATTGCTCTCCCTGCTTACCTTCTGCTTGTCATTCTCCAACAGGAGGAGGCTTTCATCCCGCTCCTGCTGCAAACTCAGTACTTCCTCAGCCAGCTCCTCTTTCTCAGCCTCACATTTGGACAGCAGCTCCTCCTTCTCCTGGTGCAGCCGGTGCACAGCCTCTTCCTTCTCCTCCCTCAGTGCCAGATACAGACTCTCCTGACATCAAGCAAGAGCAGAGCAGGCCGTTAGGACAGGTCTGGATGGGGACAGACCTTCCTGAGCAGTTACAGCCCTCACCCTGCTGCAGTGCAGAGCCATGTGGCACTCCATACAGGGCTTGCCTGACAGAGGTCAGGGAGAGCATTAATGCTGTAATGGCCCAGCTACTGTACATGTCATGCTTCCAGTCAGCACGGAGGAGAATACTTAGGACAAAGAATACACAATGTAGATAGGTTACCAGGACTGCCTGTGATCTGTAGTCTTCACCATATTACTATGGTGGAGGAGAGGAAGGTGATCGGGAACAGTCAACATGGATTCACCAAGGGCAAGTCATGCCTGACCAACCTGATTGCCTTCTATGATGAGATAATTGACTCTGTGGATATGGGGAAAGCGGTGGATGTGATATATCTTGACTTTAGCAAAGCTTTTGATACGGTCTCCCATAGTATTCTTGCCAGCAAGTTAAAGAAGTATGGATTAGATGAATAGACTATAAGGTGGATAGAAAGCTGGCTAGATTGTCGGGCTCAACAGGTAGTGATCAATGGCTCGATGTCTAGTTGGCAGCCGGTATCAAGTGGAGTACTCCAGGGGTCGGTCCTGATGCTGGTTTTGTTCAACATCTTTATTAATGATCTGGATGATGGGATGAATTGCACCCTCAGCAAGTTCACAGATGACACTAAACTGGAGGGAGAGGTAGATACGCTGGAGGGTAGGGATAGAGTCCAGAGTGACCTAGACAAATTGGAGGATTGGGCCAAAAGAAATCTGATGAGGTTCAACAAGGATGAGTGCAGAGTCCTGCACTTAGGAAGGAAGAATCCCATGCACCGCTACAGGCTGGGGACCGACTGGCTAAGCAGCAGTGCTGCAGAAAAGGACCTGGGGATTACAGTGGATGAGAAGCTGGATATGAGTCAGCAGTGTGCCCTTGTTGCCAAGAAGGCCAACGGCATATTGGGCTGTATTAGTAGGAGCATTGTCAGCAGATCGAGGGAAGTGATTATTCCCCTCTATTCGGCACTGGTGAGGCCACACCTGGAGTATTGTGTCCAGTTTTGGTCCCCCCACTACAGAAGGGATGTGGACAAATTGGAGAGTCCAGCAGAGGGCAACAAAAATTATTAGGGGTCTGGGGCACATGTCTTACGAGGAGATGCTGAGGGAACTGGGCTTATTTAGTTTGCAGAAGAGAAGAGTGAAAGGGGATTTGATGGCAGCCTTCAACTACCTGAAGGGGGGTTCCAGCGAGGATGGAGCTAGGCTGTTCTCAGTGGTGGAAGATGACAGAACAAGAAGCAATGGTCTCAAGTTGCAGTGGGGGAGGTCTAGGTTGGATATTAGGAAACACTATTTCACTGGGAGGGTGGTGAAGCATTGGAATGGGTTACCTAGGGAGGTGGTGAAATCTCCATCCTTAGAGATTTTTAAGTCCTGGTTTGACAAAGCCCTGGATGGGATGATTTAGTTGGTGTTGGTCCTGCTTTGAGCAGGGGATTGGACTAGATGATCTCCTGAGGTCTCTTCCACCCCCAATATTCTATGATTCTATGTGCTACTTGCTTACTATAATGCCACTATTAGGGGCAGGACAGTTTGGATGTATAACCAACTGTAGGGCAATCAAGATTGGATCCACAGCCCATTGAAGTCAATGGAAGACTTTGCATCGAGCTCAGTGGGCGTTGGATCAGAGACCACTGTTCAACAGTGGCAGCACAAGTTCACTGCACCCATTGATGTGGTCCAGTTTACTTGCAGCAGATCTTGTTTCCACTGTAAAGTTTGTCCTCTCACACCCAGTGGTGTTAATCAGGAACTACTCCTACTGAGTTAATGGAGATACAGCAGCATAAATTGGGTGTCTGTGAGAGGAGCACAAGACCTGGTGTCCTGCCATGCCACATTCTGCTGAAAAGTCTCGCACAAAAGATCTCAGGAGGATGGCAGTTGGAGTGGGTCATCAGAAGCTGCAGGGTGTCCCTTCTGGCAGCTCAATACTGCTCAGCACAATTCCCTTCTCACTGCCTTGTCCAGAGAGTCACAGTTTTGCAGGCCAGAAGGCAGAGTTGTGATGCAGGTCTGACCCTTCACAGCCCAAGCCAGAGGGCCTCCCACAAGCATTCCTGCATCAAGCCCAGCCCCTGTGTTGAGCTAGAGCAGGGGTCAGCAACCTTTCAGAAGTGGTGTGCCGAGTCTTCATTTATTCACTCTGATTTAAGGTTTCGCGTGCCAGTAATACATTTTAACATTTTTAGAAGGTCTCTTTCTATAAGTCTATAATATATAACTAAACTATTGTTGTATGTAAAGTAAATAAGGTTTTTAAAATGTTTAAGAAGCTTCATTTAAAATTAAATTAAAATGGAGAGCCCCTCGGACCGGTGGCCAGGACCCAGGCAGTGTGAGTGCCACTGAAAATCAGCTTGCGTGCCGCCTTCGGCACATGTGCCATAGGTTGCCTACCCCTGAGCTAGAGAGTCCCTTTCCAAATGACACCCATCCTCCCTGAAAGACTCCAAGGGCCACAGAGGCCACTATGTCCTGCGTAAGGTGCCCCATAGTACATTACCGAGGGGTCACCGTGCCCTGGATAAAGCCCCATGGTACATTACCCAAGGGTCACCATGCCCCAGGTAAGGTGCCCCAAGGTACGTTACCCAGGGGTCACCAGACCCCGGGTAAGGCGCCCTGTGATAAATGAAAAGGGAAGTGGTTAGCTCCCTTTTATGGACACCCAGCCAGCCAGTAGCTATAAAATCCCTCTTAGAAGCTGTTCTCTAATTGCTCTACCTGTAAAGGATTAAAAAGTCTCACTGCTATGCATAGGTACAAGGAAGTGAGTGGGCACCTGGCCAAAAGAGCCAGTGGGAAGGCTAGAACTTTTAAAAATTGAAACAAAGATTCCCCTTTGATCTGTCTGTTTTTTCTCCCGGGGAGAAGCGAACAGGGCAACAACTATGCCGTAAGAAGCTTCGGGCCTGGTATGAAAAATCCCCGATATCATACCTAGAAACTACTCATTTGAAACCCCAAATATGTAAGATCAGGAAATGTCTAGGAAGACGTGATTAGGTTTATCTCTTTATTTCTTTATGGCTTATGGACTCCTCTGTGCTAACCCCAGGTGCTTTTGTTTTGCTTATAACCTTTAAGCTGGACTTCAAGAAAACTATTCTTGGTGCTTAACCCTTGTAGTTACTCTTTTGAAATCTAGCAAATGCCTGAGTTTCCAAATGTATTTTCTTTCTTTTTTTTTAAATAAAATTTACCTTTTTTTAAGAACAAGATTGATTTTCTGTGTCCTAAGAGGTTGTGCACATGTTTTTTAGTTAGCTGGTGAAAACAGCTGATTCTCTCCCCCCCCCCCCCTCTTTCTCAGCTCTTCCCCGGAGGGGGGTGAAAGGGCTTAAGGGTATCTCATAGGAAGGAATTCCCAAGTGTGCCTTCCTGGGCTCTCAAAGGGGTTCTGCACTTGGTTGGTGGCAGCATCTACCAAACCGAGGTCAGACAAAAGCTGTAACCTTGGGAGTTTAATATAAGCCTGGAGTGGCCAGTATTAATTTTTAAGAATCCTTGCGGGCCCCCACCTTCTGCACTCAAAGTGCCAGAGTGGGGAATTAGCCTTGACATGGTGGCAGAGCGGTGGGATCATTTTGAACCAGAAGCACAGACCTCAGGATTTTAAAAGGACACATTTTTCCTTTTGGTAGCCTGCAAAGCCAGGGAGTTTCTTTCTTTCTTTCTTTCTTTCTTTCTTTCTTTCCTTTCCTTTCCTTTGCTGCCTGAGGGGGAACAGGCACGCAAAGGGTTCATCCTGCAAAGCCAGGGAGTCCAATGAGCAGTTTATTTTTTTTTCTAGCTTCGTGGCAACAAAATAGCTAGGCTAGATTAGGGCAGCCTTGTGCATGAGGTTGTGGTCGGGCACTGAAAACCTAGAACAACCAGTCTTCCCAAAGCAGCACGCCACGGAGAAGACAGACCCAGGTCAAGCCCAGACATCCAGCTCCATGACAGAAATGCAGGGAGGGAATGGGGGACCGGAAATTTGCCTGGAGGGAGGGAATGGATAGCTCGCCTCAACCCGAGATCCAGGTGCCAAGATGGAGGGATGCCCTTAATCCAGACCAAGTTCTAACTGTGGAAGACAGGAATTTCTTCCTACAGATGAAGTGCTTGGAGGTGCAAGCAGAGGAGAAGACCTTGGAAGCAGAGGAGAAGCGCTTGGAGGCGGAGGAGAGGAGAGAGATGTAGCGCTTGGAGGCGGAAACAGAGGTGAAGCGCTTGGAGGCGGAGGAGAGGAGAGAGGCAAAGTGCTTGGAGGCAGAAGCAAAGGAGAAGCGCTTGGAGGTGGAGGAGAGAGGCAAAGTGCTTGGAGGCAGAAATGGAGCGAAAGCGCTTAAAGCTGGAAAGGGCTAAGCAGGTCAGCCAGGTAGCCCTAACAGTCCTCCTCCAGGTACCACTCCCCATTCCAAGAAATTCCCCACATACAAGGTAGGCGATGATACAGAGGCCTTCTTAGAAAATTTTGAAAGGGCATGCCTTGGGTACAACATCCCTCCAGACCAAAATATGGTGGAGCTGAGGCCACAACTCAGTGGACCCTTAGCAGAGGTGGCAGCTGAAATGCCTAAAGAACACATGAACGAGTACAAACTTTTTAAACAAAAGGCCAGAATTAGGATGGGGCTGAGCATGCCTGTCAGCGGTTCAGAGCCCTAAGGTGAAAACCAGACGTGGCATTTTCCTGACATGCCTACCACATTGGAAAATATTCGGATGCCTGAATATCAGGAGCAAATGTTAAGTCTCTGGAAGATCTGTCTCTCCTAATACAAATGGAGCAGTTCTTAGAGGGGCAACCCGAGACAACACCATCAGAGTCAGCCCAAGGCCCCACCTTGCAAGGAGGACCCCTCCCCACAGACAGGGAGACCCCAGATGCCCTCTCGTCCCACCACCCTACTCTCCAACCACCCACCTCA